TGTGTGTGTGTGTGTGTGTGTGTGTGTGTGTGTGTGTTGTAAGTCATAGTTACCCAGGGAAAAGTGCAACACCACGACATTGGAGACCTGGGCTCCAGGCTTGGTGTCTGAGTCCTTCCAGCCGACTCTGTCTTTCTATTGGTACCTGGATGATCAAGATGCTTTTCCCATCTGAAATGCAGCGTAATTGTGATGTCTTGTGCAATGAGTTTTGAGAGCTCTATGGTGTCCTGAGTTTCTTAGGATTTTACATTTTCTGACAACAGCAGCAGACCTTCTCAGCAGAAAAATGACTTTCTATTCGTGAGTGTCAAAGTGCTAAGCTCCCGGAGCTGCAGAGCACGGTGAAGAAAGAGGAGGGAGCAGCTGCGGCCCACAGTTGTCCTTCACCAGGAAAGCCCATGGCCCTAACCAGTCACTCAAACCAGCTCACAGCTTAACTGACCCAAACCTTCTGCAGCATCGTTCTTTCCACTTCAGATTTGGTGCAAACCAACAAATCACCAACACAATTCTGTCAGTCATTTTCACCTACAATTAAAGGAGCTAAACCCCACCTTACCAAGGCCTTTTGGGACCTTGATCTGCTCAGTTTCACCATTTGACAGAATAAATGATATCCTCTGAGAACAACATATGTCATTGTTGACCTAGCACCCTACCGAGGAACTAATAAAGGACTCGGACACAGTATAATACAGCAAATGAAGATAAGCTTTCTCATCCCTCTCAAAGGGTAAGGCAAACGACAACTGTCAACCACACAAAGGAAAATAAGAAGAGAGAACAGGATTCTCACCCCAGCCATGACCACCTCAGCCACAGGCAGAACCAGCACCTACACCTCAGTAATGAGTCGAACATTCTAGAAACACCTGAGTTCTACTGACTCCCTTTTCTTTCTTTTTCACGTTTTTTCTTCCTTTCCCATTTTTGTTAACATTACCTGGGCTGGCCCAGCCTCTAGAAAGTCAGAGTACAGCTATAACTACCCACCAAGACAGCCTGCAGCCAAGTTTGGGCCTCAATGTACACATTCATTAAATAATGCTTTAAAAGCTCCCACTTCCTACTTCCTTTGCAATTAAAGTGGTTGCAAGAATTGAAACAATCAACAGAAAATATTTAGGAAGTATCCTTCAGAGGAATCTCTATGAAATTGTTAACCTATTAAAAAGGAAGAAAACACTGAACATCAACTCTCCTCCTTGAAGAAGTGAAGTATTTCTGAAATTCCTGGAACCTGGGGGGTGGAGAAGCCATCCTTTCTCAGTGGGCTGCAAACTACAATAGAAGCCAAGCACCTCTCTCCAGTGATAGCGTGTTTATCAGACCCCAGGGGTTTGTGTGAGGTACAAGTGAAGGATCAGAAACTGGCATCCAAAGGGAGCTCACAAACTTCCACAAAAGGTCAGTTTTTAAATGGATGTGATTTTAGGAGAGACTCAGAGCATCAGTCAGAGCCCTTGAGGAAAGAAGGTATCCTCCCCATCACCAGGGAGGCCATCAGTGAGCGTGCTCTGAACATAAAGTTTAAGACACATGCACGAAGCCAAGAGTTTTTAACTCCTAAAAAACCTGTTCATTGTCTCTCTGTCCACTTCAGTGGTGCTTTGAGGATGAAAAGTGTCCAGAGCTATTGCTACATACCATTTCTTGGGTAGACGGTGATATGAAAGCCTTCCTGTTACTTTAGGCCTAGTGTCGTGGGAAATAAACTCTGAACCACCTAGACAAAGATGCATCCTACACACACACACACACACACACACACACACACACACACACACCACAGCACACCTAGGTCCCACCTGAAAAAATAGGGGAATATAGGCAGAAATATTACTTTCACATTCAATCAAGTGACAAAGCATTAGGCAAGACCGCAAAGGAAATCTGAATCTGAGTGTAAGGCTGCCCAGTGGAGGTCAGGGGACAGCAGAGGTCTACCTCCACCACAGAGTGATATAGCTGTGGGGAGGGGCCTGGCAAACTACAGTCTCATGACAACAAAGAGCAGACACAAGCTTCTGGAATACCTGAGGATGCTGGCTTCCGGTTTCTCACTAAAATCAATTCAGGAATTCTGCTTTCCACCTTGAAAGCTTTGTTTTATTTTCAGCCTAAAGCCCTGTCTTTTGCTCCGCAGAGGAAGCTTCTTTCCAACCAGACTCCCGTGTTAAGGACTTGATCATTCCATAAGCTCGGTCCAAGACAGGCTTTTTAAGAGTTAAGCTGAGGCCACACTCCTGGACCAAAAGCCGGAGCCCACAAGGGCAAGATGGGGAGGGAGAGAATGGAAGAAGATTAGGGAGAGAGCCAGGGAGGACGGAAAGAGAAAGTAGACCGAGTTTCCTAAGAGTTAAAAAAAAGTCCTTGGGGAGTCCGTAGAATGGAGGCCACCTGGCTACCCTCCTGCCTGTTTGCATTCCAGGGGTGACACTGTCTCCCCAGCAAAGGACACAGAGAGCACAGCAGTCAGCTTCCTTGGCATCTTTACTTCCTGTGTTTTTTGTTTTGTTCTGTTTTAAATGGAAAGAGTCTAAGTAACGGGAAGTACGAGAATAATTTCTAGGCCCGGCGCAGTTTAAGTCCAGAAGAACGTGTCAGTTCTTTAAGAAGGGAGGGCATGCACACGCCTCTTGACGTGAATATGATGTCTGCCCTGACCAGTGTCCCAAGGTGAAGCGGTAACTACAGCCAGGAGCTCGTGCAGTGAGCGTCAAGGAGCGTGCTCGCCAACGCACCCTACGGACAACCCCTCAAAGTGCGAGGCCGCGTTGAGCAGGCCACATGAGAGCCCAAAGCCCTCCTCGGAGAGAGCTGGTCCTCTGATGGAAGCTGCCCTTTCCACGGCAACCCGAGGGCGAGGGCCCTGCGGGGGCCTTTACCCAGGGAGCTCTCTGATTTAATAGTCCTTTTTTATGTTGGGTGCAGGGTGGATGAGGTAGTCCGGGGTCCTCAGTCAGTGGCCACCTGGAAAGGATCAACCCCAACGTGTCCACACGTCCCTGGCACCGCTCCCACGCTCACTTCCCCCCTCATTTTCAGTCACTCAGTGTCTTCAGGGTCCACTCTTGAATATTGTACCCAATGGCTAACTTCTGATGGCTACGTTGAGTGTTCCAGACATCCAGTATTTAGAGTCCAGAGGCAGATTCCGAAACCCAAGGTTCCTATAAGCCTGTTTCACTGTGCAGTGTGAGAAACTGCACAGCAGGCCCCGCCCCCGCTGCCTTCCAGACCTTGTAACCGGGCGATCTCACGTTTTCAGTGCTGCTAAGAGTCCCGGGGACGCTGGAAGTCACAGCCACGCTATCCCTGGAATAGCAGCCAGGAATGTTTTATTACTGGCTCAAACTGGATTAATACGGTGCTTTATTTAGGTTCTCTTTGAAAGGGAAAACCTCCCAACCTTTAACTCCTGGCTTTCAGGACAGCACGTTTGACTTGCCTTTGCCTCCTTGCACCACAGACTCCATCTGCTTCTGAAATGAAAGCGCTGCCAAGAGGCACCAACCCAGACTCTGTTTAATCAAAGAACCACCTGCATCAGGTCAGGGCGAAAACTGCAGAAAGAATGTGGCCTACATCACAGAGCGAACTCTAAATAGATTCCCCACACGCCTAACGCACAGACTAGAGCTTACAGGGCGCAACTGAACGTCGAAGCGAAACCACGGTAGGTGTTCCACTGCTCCTGCTTTCCTTGGGTGTTTTCCACTGTCCCCAGGGAGAATTTGGCCTCATGTAACGGGCTGGTTTGGGACAAACTCCCCACCACCAGCTTCCTTCAGTGGGACACCCTGAGAAAACGGTGTGAGGCCAACATCACCGCTCGGCATCCTGCGTGGACACCCTTTGCAAGCTTTCTCCGAGTTAGTTAGCAAAGCAGTAGTTATGACTTATTTTATACAGAAATGTACAGTATTGTTATAGAATATCCCATTCTATGTCATAATATTGTTATATTGTCATATAACAGTGTATATTTTAATGTGATAAATATTTTATAGAAATAATTATTTGCTTATTTCAAAATAATTTAAACTCTGCGTCAGAAAACTCAAGTTCCATATTTAAAATAATCTATCTGAAATTTCAGGAGCTTACCCGTTGCATCCTGTATTGACTGAATGGGTTTAAACTGTTACCGACAAGCCTCCTGTGCAGGAGACTGCTCAAACAGGCTCCCATGAACTGCCCTACCACGCCCTGGGCCGCTTAGGCGGTGCAGCCTCGTTGGAATATTTTGTGACCTCCCGCATGGAGCCCGGGGATGAGACTCTGAGACACCGGTGTGAGATTCAGATCAACAATCAGGCTCATCGCCTTTCATAGGAAACTCGAGTGCAGATTTTAGCACCTTTTCCACGTCAGCTCCAGATCGCATGAGCATAAACTTGGATAGTAGATGCTTTCACTTAAGTGTAACGAAAGAAATCACACTCTAGTTGTTGTCAGAGTGAGAACATCTAGTCTCTCACACAACTCAGTTAGTGTTCATGCCTTGGAAACTCGAGAATGGGGGCGGCTGGCCAGGGACACTCACGCCATGATGCCGGAGAGGTGGAACATCTCGGCCGTGATGTAGGACAGGTAGCTGTACAGGAAGACAAAGAGGGGCTCGATGACCCGGATGTTGTGTGTGAACCGGGTGGTGAAGGCGGCTACAAAGCCCAGCAGGGTGCCGATCAGCACCCCGCCGATGCCCACCACGAAGAAGTTGGCAATGCCCGCGAACACGTCGATGGGTTGGATGGTTTTCATCTGACAGAAGGACTTGAACAAGTTGTACAGGACCTGGGGGGTGAGAAAGCACAGAGTGGGTCACTCAAGCCTGAGGGTCAAGGGTCGGAGTCCCAGACCCCCGCAAATCCTGTCATCTCAGGGCAAACAGACAGGGATCTCAGAAGCCAGCCCGTGTTACCCAACTCTCCGTCCAGCTTCAAGACCCTGCTTCAGTGAGTAAGGTGGAAAGGCCGATGTTAACCTCTGGCCTCCTCATGCGCACACCCATACACTACCACAGACGTACACGAGAACACGCATACATGCACATACACACAAACATGCACACACACACACACAAACATACATGCACACACAGGCATATCACATGCATACACATGAGAAGGAATAAAAATATTCCTAGTTCTCCCTATATTGCAAGGAGATCTGTTCTATGCCAGAAGAAATTTCCCTGTAGTTATTTGCCACATATAATAATACTGTGGCTTTAAATAAACAAATTATTTGGCAAAAATTCTTGGTGTCTTGTCAGAAATAAAAAGAGAAGACTGCAAAGCTTTCAGCCAAGTTATTCCTTAAACGTTATTCTTTCCGCTACTGCTTGGAGGGGCATTTTTAAATGCTGGCCTGCCACGCCCTGCTCAGGTCACCACTGAGGTCACCACTGCTCAGAAGCCACAGGGAACGGAAACTTAGGCTGCTGTGACAACACACTCATCTCATATGGTCCTATTATAGAGTCATCTATAAGCAGCGGGATCTATATTTTCACGCCTTTTCAGATTCCACACGTTTCTGAACCCTTCCCTAGCAATAGGACCCTGGGATTGGGTCAAAGGGTCTTCGGTAGAACGCCCACACCGCTGTCCTTTTCGGGAAGCTGTAGAAGACAATGAGTGCTCCCCCTGCTCCCACCGTCACTCGCGGCCCCTAACTTAGATGCAGCTCAGTGCGACGTTTAGTCGATTCTGTGAAAGAAACACCAAGGAGTTTATCCTTTGCCGCCATCGTGTAGGCAAGCCTGGGGGACGATTCTGATATTCCATGAGAGTTTTAAGGGAGCCCGCAAGCCCATGCGTGGTCTTCCAGAGAAAACCATGTCCTGACTTCCCAGTTCTGGCCATGGACAAGAGCTTCCACCTTTACCGGCAGCTTTCTCTGTCCCTCTCTAGCTCTCCCTGGGGTAGCCACCATCTCCATCCACAGAATGGCTCGTGGCTGTGTCTCCTTGAGGCCAAGTGCCGAATATACACCTCTGAATCTCCACACTTGCAATAGTGAGTTATCTGGATCCTTTGCTGAAACTGGAAAAACTCAGAGTAAACTGGACTGAGGAGATTGCTGGGTGGTAGGAAGGCCCTGTAAACTGCTTGTCATTCTGAAGCCAACCTGACTTTCTGGGGCTCCTTGGAAGGAATCCAGCAAGGGGTGTCCTTACTCCCTTCTAAGGTTTCTTTTTCGTTAAGCAGATTCACTCCACCAGTTCCACATCCACAGTCTCCTCTAGCAAGGGCAAATGTACATGTAAATCCAAGCCCAGTGGAGAACCAGAAGCCGAGGAAGTTAGAACGAGTTATTAAATGTCTTTACCATGGTGGCAGTTTCCTAGTTAAAATTTAATGTTGAAAGTTAATGACCAATCGCTGTTAATAAATAATAGGATGTATGAATTGAGTTTGGTTATTTGAGTAAGTTAACTTGCTGTCTTAAAAATACCAGACTTAGAAGCTCTTCTAAAATTGTATGACTTATTAACTATAAGATTATTCTCTCCATAATAATTTCCACCTAGATTTAATGAACATCCATATGCTTTAACTCTCCAGGTTAAAAATACACACTCTCTATTTAGTCCAAGGATCTGCTCTTGCTGTAAAATGTAACAGAGAATCATGCTTGTTTCCATCCATGCCCACTATCAAATGAGTCATCGATGACATTGGGAGGGTAGGAGCTAGTGGGAGAGTCCTGAAAGTTACGTGAACTGAACACACTTTAGTCTGTTCACCTCAGTTTCATCTACCGAGTGACAATGCCTTCTTCGTGGGTTGTCTGAAGAGCTGAGCATGAGAGAGCTGTTCACTAGGAGTCAGGAGCTACGTTCCTGTTACCCTCACTAGTGCAGAGCAGCTGGTTACAGTGTCAGGACTGCCGGGCTGTAACCACTGCAGGGAGAGCTCACTGAGGGTCCTGGCATCACGGGCAGGTCCTCCTCCTTCCTCACCCACCACCCACCCACGGCCTGAGTTCAGAAGTAAAATCTGCTAAAGCAAAGGTCACAACAGCTTTTGCCTCCATATGAAGCAATTAAGAGAGAACTAAAATAGTTAGCGCTTTATATATAAAGTAATCTGCCTATAGCAATATGGCCAGGGGTGTGCTCTGTCTGTGGGGACATGATGAGGGCCATTGGTGTGCTGCTTTAGTGGCAGAAAGTGAGCACACGAGAAAAGATTTCTCTACCACCATCAGCAGCAGACAAACTGTTCCCAGGGAGAATGTTCCCTAGTAAACACTAAAACATCACTTCTCTGCACACACACATACATATGTGTATATAGCATCACTTTCACAGGGACCTACATCTCTTAAGTTATTATCAAACACCATTAATTTAAACAAATCAGAGTGGGAAGCCATCAGAGACACAATGGCCACAATCACCTCTGTGCTTCTTAACCTTACGTTTGTGCTTTGTATTTTGTGACAGTGGCAGCCACACACTCTCTGTGGGAGCCAGTGCAAAGTAAAAACGAGGATCCAATTATGCTCTAATAAATAAAATACAGGGAACTGATTAAAGTGTGTATTAAGAGTTTCAAGATCACAACGTAAGAGCATTAATCCAAGGTAAGGGCTCTGATACTGTGAAATATGTACCCAATCTTCCCACCCTTTCCCAGACATCTAGCTGCTCAAATCCTTAGACTCTTTTTCAGTGCCAAGAGTCCTTGTGTGCTGGTGACTGGCGGATGGCTGGCAGATTCAGCAAGATGGGATCTGGCCCCTGAAAAGACCAAAGCAGGGTTCAAAACAGTTGAGACTTTCATCCTCAGGGAAGGGTGAGGGTGGAAGGTTAAATTTATAACCTCTGTCCAATGATGTAATCAATCATATCTGTGCAAAAAGAACCCAAAGGGACAGACGGGTGCAAGGGGCATCTGGATAGCTGGCTGTGTAGGAGTCTGATGTGTTGGAGGGGATACGGAAGCTTATGCCCTTTCCCCATGTCTTGCCTGACACAGCCCTTCATCTGTATCCTTCGCAGTACTGGGATACTAAACAAATGTATCTGAGCTTTGTGAGCTACTCCAGCCAGGGGAAGGTGTGGGAACTCTGCAGTACGGCCCACTAGTCAAAATTACAAGCCACTGAGCTTTGCTATCACCGTGTGAAGCTGAGTAGGACACAGTCAGGGGGCCTGAGCCGTCAGCCTATGTGCCTGGCACTATCTGGGGACAGACCGGAGCAGAAACGATTTGACTTGGAGGGAAGCCGGCTGATGTCCGCCACAGCATCTACCGCCCACTGCTGCAGGAAGGGGGGAGGGGAGGGACGCCTCCCTGCCCTTGGCATCACAGCACTTGACACTCGCCCTCCAGCCTTGGAGAGCCTCGTGTGTGGCAGGAGGCTCCCACACGCTCAGCGGTGCTCCAGGCACCGTGTGCTCACCACCGTGACTGCGTCGTTGAGCAGAGACTCGCCGAACACCAGGATGTAGAGCTGCTCGTTGACATGAATGTTCTCAAAGACCGCGAGCACGGCCACGGGGTCCACGGCCGAGATCAGGCTGCCGAACAGCAGGCTCTGCAGCAGCGTGATGTCACCCAGGCCGAAGGCCTCAATCTGGCAGATGCCGAACAAAGACACGCCGATGCCGATGGAGTTCCATAGGGTGCCCACCACGGCGTACCAGAAGATGGTGCCGAAGTTCTCAAAGAACGGCCTCGTGGGCATGAAGTAGCCGGCATCCAGCACGATGGGCGGCAGGAGGTAGAGGAAAAACACGTCCGTCTTCATTGCCGGGGGGGACTTCTCGTCCACCCCAAAGATGATCCCCCCCAGCAGGAGTCCCACCATGATGAGCAGGCAGCTCTCAGGCACGATCGTGGGCAGCTTGTGGTACAGGTGGAACCCTGTTGGCAAGAAGCACAGACACTGGGTCATGCAGGCGCCGAGAAGGACGGTAGTTCCCACGGAAACAGTGGGCAGAACTTCAGATTCACAAGATCACCACACTTGGCGTGCAAAATAGCCCACTTTAAACAAGTTAGCTTGCTGATGTATGTAAGTGCCGGAAATACTATTGAGGCACAAACCGACTTTTAAGCTAGAAATCAAAACGCTATAGATATCCAGTGTTTATATGGTGTAACGTGGCAGGTTCTTTACCCTTATTAAGCTTTTCTTAAATACTAGGACTTCGGAGATAGAATAAAACAAGTCAGTGTGTGTGTGTGTGTGTGTGTTTGTGTGTGTGTGTGTGTGTGTGAGAGAGAGAGAGAGAGAGAGAGAGAGAGAGAGAGAGAGAGAGATCCATGTTCCTGTGTGTGCAAGCGCATCTCTTTGTGGGATGCCAGTACACATGTTTGCTTCTGTTTGTGCAATCAGCATCCCCCTCCCTTTTCTCTGCACAGCCTTGGGCTCAGGTGTTCTCTGTGGTAGAGGCACACCAGGAGAAGGAAGTAGCTTTTTTTCTTGCCTTTCCTGGGAGGCTCCTGTGCAGGCCAGCGAACACCTCTGGTGGCGTTCCTAGGGATGAGCTGGCCACGCTTATTTTGTTTATTTCTTTTGGTTGTTACTTTAGGATGATTGTTGTCTGTTTGTTTGTAACTAGCAAGGACTGGTTAACTGAACCATGCATCCCAGAGTTCCATCAGCTTCCCCAACTGACTACAAGCACGAGCCAATACACTCAGCTTTCTACTCTGGGTTCAGAGTATCAGTTCGCATGTTGGGACGGCAAGCACTTTCTTTTTTATTTTCTTTTTTTAAAATTTATTACAATTTATTCACTTGTATCCAAGCTGTAGTCTCCTCCTTCTTCTCCTCCAATGCCCCTTCCCCAATCCACTGTTAGGGGAGGTCCTTCTCCCCTTCTATCTGACCCCAGCCTATCAGGTCTCATCAGGACTGGCTGGCAAGCACTTTCTTAATGGTGCTCTCTCCCTGGTCCAAAGCAAAGCAGTTCTATACTGAAAACAATTTAATTTTGCTCAGAACATCTTCAGCTGTAACTTTTCACTTCCTACTACCAAAACCCCAGTAGGAGGACAGGGCAGTTATTTTTATGCTTTTGGAAACTGAAGTGACAGCCGATGCATGGAGCACTCCAGGGTCTCCCCACGGTGGTCTGGCCACGCGCTGTCTCGTTGATCACCGAGGTGCTGCAGATAGAGATTAGTATTTTCCTTGTCTCTAGTCTCAGATCCCTTCATTTGATGCCAAATGTGCTTAGCTTTTGAGATGTGGGTTCTGTAAGAGAAAACCAGCTCAGCTGATCGCGAGTGTCAAGTAGCTGGTTTGCGGAGGACGCGCACACACAACTGCCGCCTCTGGAGGAGTTCCCGAGCAAGCCGACACACAAGCGTGTCTGTGAGTTACTCCAGTCCGATACAAGGGAGGCTCGAGACCTAACCAAGAGCCAGGGGAATACAGAGGAGGAAGCCATCTGCTAAGGGAAACACCCAGAGGAGCCAGGACTGCGCAGACCTCACAGCCTAAGCTAGGAGCAGGGAAGGAAGGGAGGGAAGGGAGTCGCTCTCAACAGTTCCACGCAGGATCCCAGTGACCATTTAACACGGAGTGCACCTGAGCAGAGGCTGTGGCAGGAGAAGGTGGGGGAGGGCTGACTGGATGGGCACATGAGGTCAGCACAGAGCTGACTTAGTCCACAGACGGCAACTGAAGGGGCTTGAGGAGAGCCTGGGATTGCGAGCTAACAGTATGTCACCCTGAGACGCTTCAGATACTTAGAACCGTAGGAGAATATGAAAAGGCTGTAGCTTGAATGGGCCCAAACCCTCCCAAATTCACTATGACAGAATGAAGAGGAGGGGCGTTTGAGAGATGGTTGAGACAGTGACAATTAAACTGGGAACCGATGCCCTGGACAGCCTTAGCAATGATGTTCTTCTGAAGCTTCAGAAGAGCGTGAAACTTCAGGAGATTGTGACAGTACTGGTGCAAAGATGACCAGAGAGTCACCACAGTAACGGAAAATGGTGGCCACAACAGATGTTTGTGACAGACGGGGTGACAGAGACGCTGCTAACAGCGCTTTCCTCATTGCTCTTATTTCTACACTTCATTTCTCTCCACACATGAGGTCAACACGGCTACCTGCCTGCATCTGTGTAACACGCAGTGCTCAGTGCTGCTACCTGCAGCTGTAAACATGGCGCCCTTGATAGAAAGACTTGTGGAAACAGAAAGACCGCTCTGGACTTTGAGACCCCGAGAGGCCTACCCTCAAAACTCAACCTGTGGCTGAAGGACGGTAGACTCCTTCCTCCCTCAGTGTTCCAGAGAGGAATCTGTTCTCGCTGCCGAATAGACTTTCCTGCCCTGTGAGACCCACAGGCTCTGAGATCTACTCTCTCGGTAGACTTGTTCCAGGAAGAGCTGCTCACAGCTCATGACCCATGACCTGCCTGAGAGCTGAGGACAGTGCCACTCTGATCGCTCAACACCAAATAGCCAGAGCTGCTGCTGCTGCTGCTGCTGCTTCTTCCTCCTCCTCCTCTTCTTCTCCTTCTACTTCTCCTTATTCTTTATTTTCTTCTTCTTCTTCTTCTGCTACTTCCCCCTGCTTCTTCTTCCTTCTTCTCCTTCTCCTCTTCCTCCTCTTCTTCTCATTTTCCTTCTCCTCCTCTTCTTTGTCTCCTTTTCCTTCTCCTTTTCCTCCCCTCCTCCCCCCTCCTCCTCTTCCTCCTCCTCATTCTTTGGTTTGGATGACCACCCATACAGTCACCCTCTCCCTTGTTCAAGTTTCTTTCCCATGTACACAGGTTCCCCTTTGTTCACCCTTCACTGTCTGCAGCGTTTGTGGATAGAACATATAGGAAGCCTTTTGGAAACATGAGACTTGCCGGTCTCCAAGCTCACTCTGTGAGCTAAAGAACAGGCCTCTGGCAGTGTTCAGGAGATCCTGTCCTCCCTCCCTTGCCCTTCTGCCTCCTGCCTGTGACAGTGACATTAGAGGACAAAGTCTGACCCCTTAGCCTTAGACTCCAGCATTCAAAACATGAGAAAACAAACGTTTTCCCTTCTAAAGTGCCCGGCCTATGGCATCGCTGCAGCAACAGGGACAAGATAAGACAGGACGGTGTCAGAGTTACACGAAAGGGGTTTGGGAGTGACAGAACACACTCCCGGAGACTCGTCGCCACAGTTCTTTTAGTAAGCGAAACTCTCGCACAAACAGGATGAAAACCACAGCATGGAACACTCCATGAGCTGAAGCAATAGAATTTGGAGGAATATAAAATAGTAATTTCCACACAATAAAGTGAACATCCGCATGCGGGGCATGCAAGCCGTCAGCTCTCCCTGGCTCCGTTACCACACTCAGCAGGCTGCAGTAATAAGTGGGATTAATGTAGCCAGTGGCTGCAGCTGTCCTCTGCCCATGGCCTCTGGCCCACTGGCCACATGTCAAACAGAATAAAAAGTCCTCCAAACCCTATCTTCTTGCTTGCCGCCTCCTTTTACAGCCAGTGTTTCCTGTACGAAAACAACATGCCAACGACAGCCTCCTGGAGAACCCAGAATCCTCCTGGAACTCAGCCCCGAGCTGAGCCATGGGCCTCCAAAGTTGCCATACCGGGCTACTGTGCCAGCCTGAATGCAGCGGTCCCACTCTCTGTCTGTGACTACGGTTGGGTGACCAGTACAGCCAGGCCCCACCTTCTCATCTGTGGGGTGCTGAGATCTCCGCCTCCCAGGGAAACATCCTCAGTGGCAGTCGAATTACTGACTGCATGTCACGGCACTGACAGTCTCCAGTGCCCTGGAGTTGAGCTGCCTCCTCCACTTCATTGGAAAAAGCCAGAGAAAACACTTGCAATGATATGCAGACAAACACAACAAACCCTGGCAGCAGAGCAGAACTGGAGGAGACCTGTTTTCAGAGGCGCCCACTCCTATTCTTGATGCTCCCTGTCTCTTCTCTAACGCAGCCTCTGGGACCTGGGTCTCTCTCACAGACAGAAGTGCGGTCTTCTCCGTGTGGAAAGCACCTTCTAAGGCCTCTGAGTGGAGGATGGGAAATGACATATGGGCTGAGGAAGGGACAAAGATGGTATCTACATACCCAGATGGTAATGCTTGCCATGGTCATGTGATGTGCCAGGGTCTGACCAAGACCTTAGCCAACAGGAGAGAGCAATGGAGAAGCAAACAGAACCAAGCAGAGTAAACGAAGGGAGCAATCAGATCAGCAGGACAAAGGGCCAAGGAGGAGGGAGAAGGTTTACAGGAGCAAAGGTGACACCGGGAACCAACAGACCGACAGCATCTAACAGGAACACTTGTGAGCCAACTGAAAATTTATATTTTGAAAAAAAAAAAACATTTTTGATTTGTTTCTAAATGCTTAAGTCCGTCAAAATGGATCTGAGTGACCCTTTCCTGAAATAGGACAGTGGCTACTAAATCTGCCCAGTTGTTCCATGATTAGCACAGGACTAAGTGACGAGCAGTCACCAGCAACTCAGCTTGGGGTCCTTCGGGAAGCAGAAGCAGAGGCATGAAGAGTGCTTGCTCGTGACTCTCCGGTAGGCAGATGAGACTTTGTGTTCCCACACCTACGCTTTGGTGAGCACCCGGAACCAGCTGGTCAGCAACATGGATACGTTTTTATAGCTTTTTGTGTATTTTTTTTTTTTTTTTGAAGCTGGCTTCTTTAATGTCACTATTCTCAGATAAAAAAAAATCACCATTCACAAACGTGTATACATGTGTTTCACTCTCCGGGTATTTCGTGAAGGTGAAGCTAACTTCATAGGGCAGAAGTGACTGTGTCTGCGTGTTCAGTTCCCTCGTGTGATTAGGAAAGGTACCAGTCATTGCAGAGAAACCCCAAACGAAAGGCCTGGTGATTTTTATGAGGCGGACAGGAGCAGCTGCAGAGCTG